ATTTGTTGCACATGTGGGGAACATTCACTGGCATCGCGCCGCGACGCGCGCCGCTTGGCGGAGGGGAATCTGAGGGAAATCTCGAGGGCACCACTGTTGCCCTTGTCGGGGTCCCAGGCGTTCTGGAGGATCATTACTCTCTGTGGTGAGAGTTTTGGGCCAATGAGATCAGTTTGTTGGATACACGATCCGGCGTTTTTTGCAGAGCTGCGAGATTCAAGGGTGTTATGTCTCCTCTCAACAGGACATCTGGAGCCCGTCTGCTAGATTTCGTTCGGACCTTCATGCCGGCACGACGATCGGAAGAGTGCCAGAGTCGGGGCTCGCGGGAGATGAGCCTGCAGCAGAGCCCGCCCGATTTTTGATGGCATGCTCTTGACTTTTGGCTAGGCCTTCCGCCACCAAAGTAGAGATGCCTATCATCTGCCCGCTTTCTTGAAGTTAGTTTCGGAGTCCTCACCACATAGGGCTGTTCCAAAGTATTGCAAGTACCATGCCCTTTCATGGAACCTTTTCATCACTACGAGGTACGTCCAAAGTTTCAAGAGACCCTGTAATCCAGAAAAGCCCCTACGTGTCATTCTCACCACAAGGATCTGAAGCCTTAGGGGGGTTAATCCAGGGTAGAGACTGAATTCTGCTCTACAAGCCCTAATTAGCTCCAGGTCCAACACGGAACTTCTTAATTCGCCCCAATACCTCAAGACTTCATCAATAGGGCACTTGTGGCCCAGGTCTGGAGACCAGGTGCGGCAGGTTTCTTCGATTCGGGTTAGGGGTTGGGCTCGATATAGCTTTTTGCCCTTGGTGCTTTGAGGGCTACACAGCTTGTGACCCTTGGTGCTAGTTCTGGACGAAGTCAGCTCCAACGCGAAACCAAGCCCGAAACATATTTTCATGAATGCCTTGTTGATCTTTTTTTGAAGTGCGAAGCCAGAAGTGGAGGCCGTCAGAGCATGATGGGGAGTCCATGCCGCATATGCTACACTTAGAGTCTTAGAGGCGTTCGAAGTACAGGCCACCTAAGGGCCTATGAACAACGCCCCAACCCTTAGGGCTTCTCTAAGGGGACACACAATCACGGAGCCGTCTATATTCAGAAGAGCACTTTTTTCGAAGAACAGAGTATGGTTTTAGGCTATAGGGATTCTAAGGGCAAAAAAGGGTTTCCGGGAGGTCGCTTCCAATCTCTTGTAGGCCTGACTAGGCAAGGAAGGGTCCCCTCCTACTTTTCCTCCGGGCCACCGGGGACCCTGCTAGCAGAAAGCTCATCTTTCTCCATAGCGTTTAGGGAATGCCTTCCATAAATTAGGAGAGGGGTGTTTTGACAGATGCTTGGGAGTATCCCTAAACCCTATAAACCCTAAATGCCCCTTACTTAAGGGGTGTTGGAGCCTGGGGTTCAGGCTGCACGTTCCGACCTGCCTGAGGTCCCTCGCAGTTTGCTCTGGCGTTTAGAGGGCTTGGGGTTCAGGGTTGAGGGGCTCAAGGCTGAGGGTCTAGGCTTTAAGGATTAGGATGAAGGCCCTGGACCTTTGAACCTAAACTCTATATCACAGTTTGAGTTCAGGGCGCTGGGGCCTAATTAGAGGTCAAGGATCCCGAGAGTTTAGTCCAGGTTTGGCGTTTAGGGTTTTCAGGTTAAGGGTCTGAGAAGTTTTAGAGTCTGAGAGAGAGGGACTACAGGGTTTTACTGTGCCAGTAGGGAGTGGGGAGTGTAGTGTTGGGGGTTTGCAGGGTTCATAGGTTTCTTGCTGAGGGCCTTGAAGGTTTAAGGTGTTGGTTTATTCGTATTCTTATGTGTGCAATATTTTTTGGGGCGGTGCTCAGGCCCTTCGGGCCGGTTGTGGGACTTCAGTGGAGTAGGGGGTGCCTGGAGGCTTCGCGAGCCAATAGACCCTAAGAGCAACACTCTGAACCCCTGCCTAACCCTATAAACCCACCCGAAACCCGAAGCCACCCAAACCCTAAACCCTAAACCCTAAACCGTATTCCCTAAACCCTAAACCCTTTTCCCTAAACCCTAAACCCTAAACCCTACTGTACCCCAAGCCCCCTGAGCCTGTGATGTCGTATCCTAGCCACAGCCAGGGCTCCGAGGAGCTGGGGCCCAACCTTCGCTTTTTTAGGGCTTTTGGGGATTTTTAGGGTTGTTTTAGGGCTTTTGGGGCTTTTTTTGGGTTCTTTTAGGGTTTTTGGGGCGTTTAGGGCTTTTTAGGGTTTTTCGAGCTTGTAGGGTTTTAGGTTTTTTCGGGCTTATGAGGATCTAGGGTGTTGTGCTGGTTTTTTGAGGACTAATGAGGTTCTAGGACTTTGTTTGGTGCTTCTGTTAGGGTTTCAGGTTTAGGATTTAGGCGGTTCTGAGGTTTTGGGTGCTGGGTTCACGGCCGGTGAAGTCGTAGGGTTTCCGGGCTTGGGAGGTTCGAGGGTGTTGTTTTGCGTCATTACCGTTTGTTGGCTAACCCCAGAAATACGAAAAGAAGGGTATCTAACCCCAAGCCTCAGGGTTTAGGGTTTAGGGTTTAGGGTTTAGGGTTTAGGGTTTTAGAACCCCAAACCCCTAACAGAAGCCCAAAGCCAACCAAAGTTCGGAACCCAATGGAGCCCAGTGAAGCCGACTCGCCAAGCTCAGGTCTTCAGACCTCGGCTTCACTTGGTGCGCCCTTTGGCGGGCACTATAGGAACGCCAATGTAGGGGTTTCCGAAACTAGGGGTACCTTATATCGGGGTCCTTACTACAAGGGGATCCTACTATTTACCATGTAGTCGGGGTTCCTTTGTTTTCGTAAAACCCCCCCATGTCGCGCATGCCAAGTTACCATCGCATTCATCCTGCAGGGAGCTTTCAGAATAATGCATGTGTATTCTTTGCCTCCTAATGCCCGAACTCCGACCCCTATGCTCTGAAGTGAACTACCCGGAAATCGAAGCTCACAAGCCCTCCTAGACCCGGGATCTCAAGTCAGAGCCGAGGACTCCTTCTCTTACCTCATCATCATGGTGATGAAGCCCCTTCCCTCAGCGTCCAAGGGCTCCTGGTAGCGAGTGTTGCGGCATATAGGGTCCTTCTGGGGGGGTCCTTCGTACAAGGGGTTCCGCGATGAAAGATATTTGCTTAGAACGGCCTATGGAGCGATTGTGTCGAGCCGACGTGTTCATGGTCTCTGCGCGTTGACTGGGGGACAGGCAGCACATGCTTTGATGAAGCGCAACCCACCCCTCAATCAGCCCCCCCCCCCCCCCCAACCCTTTAAACCCCGAACCCGCAACCCCATAACACCTGCTTCAAACCCCCCATCCCTGTCAAGCCCTACCCTGAGACCTTTTCATTCCGGGCTATTCAGGCTTTAATCGGGGTTTCGGGTGGGTAGGGTTAAGGGCTTTCGGGAAGGAAGCCGCACGACCCCAACGGTCGCTTCGTGGATCGCCCATTCAGCTACAACCCGCAGGTGCCTCCTTTGACAGAGGAATCGTTTTGTTTTGGTTCCAACCTTAGGGTTTGGGTTTTGAGTTGAGGGTTTTGGGGGGTTCAGGGTGTTGTGGTGGGGGTGTAGGGTTTTGCTGTTGATGTCAACAAGGGTTGGGGAATCGTGGTTGAGGGTTTAGATTTTTGGCGTTGAGGTCTTTCAGGTCTTTCGACCTTCGCCCCAAGCTGCTTCCTTCCCTGCCACTCCGCAGTACTACTGGGAGGCCACGCCACTGCTGCGCTGCGCACTGCAGGCCATTGGCAAGGCGCCGTGGGGCCAGGATGCCAGCAGTCTCAGTAGTTTCCATATACATCCCTTACATCCCCTTCTTAAGGCTTAGGATGGTTTAGGATCCCAGTTGTCTGGCCTTCTAAACAACTGTTGTCCCTTTCTCAGCCATCCATCCGTTCATAAAGTCGGCGAAAGTTTCAGATTTGGGTTCTCGAGCATGGGAAGTCAGATTCGGAAGCTCCATCGTGTTCAGGCTCTGACAAAGCGCGCGGCAGATGACGAGCACAGGTTCAACCAACGCACAGGGCTTAGAGGGCCGGAAAGTTTGTTTTCTCTGTACTCGTTGGTATGGTTGGTACTGTTATATGGGTTGAATTCGAATCCTGAGCCAAAATCCCGGTGCAAAACAATGCTCGGACACCAGTCCGGCATACGCATGCCTTGTGGACTAGTGAACCCTAGATGGGCTATGGCGCATATCTTCACACGTATGAATGGCAGTATAGGGGGAGGGGGGTGGGAGGTGGGCCTGGCAAATCACATGTGGGGCGGTGGTATAGGGTAGGTTTGCTGGATCGGGTTTCCCAAAAGCCGGCGGATGTGAGGCTTGGGTGAGGGTTCAGCGGTCCACCCAGTGTTTCTGCAAGGACCTAAGGGGCGTTTCGTTGAATTATAATTCATAAACCAAGATTCAGATCTGATCGTTGAGGTGAAGAGCACAGCGCAGGTTTGCTCATCTTTATCCCAAAACATGCCGAGGTGTCTGGTATCGCATCCTCATGAACCTCATGCTGGACACGAACTCTGGCAACTCTGATGCCACCCCGGCACATTTCAGAAGTCCAGGCTCGCTGCGCATCACATTCTGCACATCGCGCTCCGATTCAGAACCGCTGAACCGGATCCTCTTCGAAAAAGTGAAGACTTTTTTTACTTCGCCGGGAAGCATGCATGGTCGTGATTCAGGATCTGGGGATTTGTATCTGGAGTTGGTCGGGATGTAGGAGTCAGAGGTTGCATGAAAGTGATTTGGTTAGGCAGGGAAGCCCTTGAAAGCCTTCTTGTGCTAGCGCGGAGCCTACACCCTCTACCTTAAGCCCTAATCTTTCCACTGCCTCTATAAACCCAAGCTTTCACCACAAGCATGCCGAAGCCTCTTGGAACCATCATGGATCGCCATAAAGTCAGAAGCTATAGGTTTTAAGTTGCAAGACTTAAGTTACAAGTGCGGTGCGTAATCTTTATTACGAACTGAATTCAAGGGCTGAGCCTTTCGATCAGTTGCTGCGACCTGTCTGCCAGATGACCTGGAAGATACTCCAGGCCTTCTCAGATTGCTACTTGGCCTGGGACCCGGTGGGGTGGCGTTGGGTGTAGTTTTTCAGACAGGACTTCAGTAGTCTAGATCTGCTTAAGCCTATTGCGTCCTTAGTTCAAGGGTATAGCAACCCTGAGGCTTCTTCGCCCCAACTTCCCCAGGTGTTGAACCCGATGCGTGTCCCCAATTTCGCCTTCGCCTGGCTTGAGCTCATCAGCCACAAGATCTTCATGCGCGGGGCCCACTTGAAGATGCATGTGGGCATCACAGGTTAGAAGATGAGGAATGTAACTCGCGGCGCTGCTCGAAACCCATGAACCTTCAAGTATGGATTTAGGAAGGCCCAGCAGCTGGAGTCAAGAACAGACTCCAGATGTTCCGGAATTGAGGGTTAATTCTTTTTAGTCTTTGTGTGTTTCAGTGCTTCGCGGTTGCTGTACTGAGGGACGATATGTTGTACCTGCAGCTGAAGCTGTCACTTTGTGAACAATGGCGAGTCTCCGACAGCTAAGCGACTCTAGGCTGTGTTGCCTGAGATTCTCAGCATTCTCTGCTTTCAAAAAGTGAAATTGGGGTTTAGGCTGCTCAGGTAAACTCTGCCTTAAGCACGGCGACAAGCTCCTACACTAAGCCCTTACAGCCCATCCTCAAGCCCCTAAGAGCCCCAAGCCTCCTGATGCTCTTCACACTCTGAGGCCTCGCATCTTGAACATCCCGGCGCGTCGGGGCTGGCTACTGCACCTCGGATGTACTGCTATTCTTTTGGGTGTGAGGGGGTGTGGTTTTGGGGAGGGAGGGTTCCGCCTTCAAAATCCCACACATTTTACAATTTTACAAGTTCTGGCATGGCAGCTGCCGAGGTTCCATCGCCTGTTCGCCCGGTCCCTGGCAAATGGTTTAGGGTTTAGGGTTTAGGGTTTAGGGGTTTTGCATTGCTGAGGGTGTGTCTCTTTGTTGACTTGTTGCCTGTCTGTCAGCATCGCGGCGTGCGATTCGCAATATACGTCCCACGAAATACCCGAAACCCTATAAAGCCCAACCTCAATTTGTAGTTAAAGTGCTTGTTCTACAAATGGCCTGAGCTGGGCAGTAGAATCCTTGGCAAGCAAAGCCTCATCCTTAAAACCCTAACCCTAAACCCTAAAACCCTAAACCCTAAAACCCTAAATCCTAAAACCCTAAACCCTAAAACCCTAAATCCTAAAACCCTAAACCCTAAACCCGAAACCCTTATCCTTAAATCCCCGACCTCAGATGGGCTTGCTGAACTTCATCGGCCCCTACTTGAGTCGCATCAAGATGTCGGCGCGAGCCTAAGATGCCTTTGCTGTTTGAGAGAGGGGGGAGTCTTTGAGGCTTTCTTTGGGTTTGGGGAATTCCGGGCTTATAGGTTCAGGGAGTTTAGGGTGTAGGAAGGAGGGATAACGAGTTTCTGGCGACTGCCGGTCTTGCTGATACGCGGTGGCTTGGAGAATGGCGAGAGGGGAGGCTTTTCACCCATCTTCCCTGCATATCTCTTTGTATGCACAGTGTTCAGTAAACCCCTGAACCACTGAGTTCTACACCCTCACTGCCTGCAGGAGACTTGCAAGTCGCTCTACAAGTTTGCCCTGCGCACGCTGCTGGTACGAGCCCCGTGCTGTGGGCCAGCTGGGAGGATGTTCTTCAGGGATGAGGATGAGAGAGAGAGTTTCGTCTCACTGCGACAGGTGCTCTTGCACGACTATCCCGAGTTTCTCGCGGACTATCACCACGCCTTCTGCCGCAGCCTGTGTAGTCGACCCTACGACGGCCAATCCTCCATCAGCCTCAGTGATACCCACCTTAAACCCCAAACTTACTCTACTCTACTATGTAACCCTAAGCAGCTCTCAGCCCAAAAAAAGAAGGCCAAGTCCAGTCGGCTGTGTGAGTAGATCCCTCGATGCGGGCCGTTTGCTTGTAGGAGTTTTTTCCTCTCCGAGGTGACGTCATCCCTTGGCAGTGTGTCCAGATCCGCCGCTAAGACGCAAGATGCTTTGCCTAGCTTTACAACACCCTAGCCCCATATAGTGTTTCAGCACGTGGCAGAACAGAAGGATGATGCGCACTGAGCGATGCATATTTTGCGGACCCATGCTGATTTGTGCAAGTGCCACCGGTGTACAACTCCGGGCATCATGAGACACCCTTATTGAGGGCTTCGTTCTTGCACTGCAAGCTATAGCCAGTTTATGAGCTCAACAGCCTCTCAAGGCAACTTGATCCTGGCAGCCTTCCCGCAGAACATGAAGCTGTCTGTCTCTGAGACCTTCCGATGTTTGGGGTTTGGGTGTTTTTAGAGTGTCGAGCATCAACCCTAAAGCCTAAAACCTAGAACCTAAATGTGCGGTTCTTCACTCTTCACTCTTCACATCGGGCCAAGGAGCAGGTGTTCAGTTCGGTGGTAGTTTTGGGTGTTGACACAGGAGACGAAGAATTCTCGTGCCCCTAGCTTTGGCTGACGGAAGGCGTTCACAGGGGGGGGCGGGGGGGGGGGGGGTTGTAAGGGTTGCTTGTTCAGAGTCAAAAAGAGTGATATGTTTCGGAATCCTCTGGGATAGCTAGAAGGTTAGATCTCAAATGACCCAAGCCCTAAATGTCTGACATGTCTGAATCACGAAAAGCAGAAACCCTACTTTCTTACACCCCTATCGGGCCGGAGAACCCCGAACTTCCTCAATTCCGTCCCCCCCCCCCCCCCCCCCCCCCCCCCCAAAAAAAAAAAAACAAAAAGGAAGCTGCCCAGGCCTGATCCCTTCACGCAGAACTTGAAGGTTGATCAACTCCCGGAGATCAAGGACGGGGACCAAGACTTCAGGGTTTAGCTGGGTATACACTCAGCCCTGCTTAAAACTCCTAAACCCAAACCCTTGCTGTTGCTTGTTTGGGAACTACAGGGCTTGGGATTTCGGTGCGATGTGCGAAAATCGGACATTTTTACCAACATGCCCACAATTTCGGTTGTTGAAGTTGTTTGTTCTTTTCCCCCCCCATTACTTTAGGCAGCCCGAGACCCCAACTCCTTCGTGCCGCACCGCAGATGGCGCCGGTGATCCACTCCACCTACATGTCCAAGATGATGATCTCGGGATTGAAGGCAGGGGCCTAAACCCTGAACCCAAACCGAAAGGGTCCATCTACACCCATAGAATTAAAGCTAGGCAGGCCCTGGGGATATTTCATATTTTTCCTTGATTGGGTTGAAGAGGATCATGTTCAGGACTATGTCTCAGAGGGGTTTAAGGGCCATCCTATATTAAGTATCCCTGGCAACAGTGGGTTGGCCCCAAGCTGTCATCGCTCACCCTCACGCGCACCGCTCACCCTGAACCAGCTCTAGGTCCTGAAAGGGGTTTAGGGTTTAGAGTTTAAGGTTTAGGGTTTATATAGGGTTTAGGGTTCAGGGTAAGGCACTTGCCTTGCTCTCCACCCTGAAATCTCCGGGCGCTTGGAAGCCCCGACTCCCATCTCCAGCTCATAAGCAGATGGGCTCTGACTGTCTACTTAAGGATTCGGAGGTTATAGCCCAGTGGGTCCATTCGTAGTACTATTATGGAGTTAGGTACCCAAAAAAACATGCTAAACAGGGTTTGGGGCGCCTACTGTACTCCCATACTAGTACTACAGATGACCCTCTGGGTAGGGTTGAGAGCCTTGGCGTAGGGCACCCCGCAGCGCCTAGACGTTTTTGTGCACAGGCGGACGTTGATCAGTACATCCGTACGAAGGCCGCGGGCAGGGCCAGCACTACCCCAAACCCTAAACCCTATGCACCTGGGATGTTCCCCGTATACCAACAGTCCTGAATATGAATTATAGTACCCTTATTATGATTATCCCTATTCAGGACTGTTAGTCAACGCCTTTTGGGGGCCCATTTGGGGGGTGGGGGGGTCATTGTCGGATATTTATATAAAGACCAAAAGGGAAGACCATCAGCAACTATTCCAAAACCCCATATGCGCCCTGTTAAGATGAACAGGTTTCAATAGGCCCAAGAAGCGAGGCATTTTTTCATCTTTTGTTGAAAGCTTGAAGACTAATTAGCACTCTCTCGAGAGGCCCCAAAAGCCCAAAGCCTAAACCTTACACGCTCTCTCCCTCCTAAACTTCCAAAACACCCTCAGCCCTAAACCCTCCGCCCTCCAAAGCCCTAAACCCTGGAGCCTGAAACCTTGGAGCCCTAAACCCAACAAGCCCTAAACCCTAAACCCAACAAACCCCGTACTAAACCTTAAAAACCTAAACCCTAAACCCAACAAACCCAGCAAACCCAACACTCAAAATCCAACAAAGCCTATAAACCCCTACTCAAACGAAAACCCAAACAAAGCCCGTAAACTCTTTGCCGTCGCAAGGACAAGAGTCACCTCAAGACCATCATGTCGAAGCCGGAGGCTTAGGCGACAGGGCGCCTTGTGGGAGATAAGCCCGAGAGGAGCCCGGGTTCAGGGTTTAGGGTTTAGGGGGCTATTTTCCTGTTTTCGGAAGTCCTCCAATATAAGAGAAGAGAGAGAATCGGCGCCGTGACCCTTCAGCTGCGACTCCCGGTCACTTCCAAGGCTGTTGCTGGAAGACCAGAAGCTTGCGATCGACATGGGGACAAAGCTTGGCTCCTAGCCGCCGGCGCCGGTGGGGGGGGCTGGGGCGGGGGGGGGGGGTGTTCACTCTATTTGTGTTTTTAGGCTGGGGGGTTGATGAATACCTTCCCTCACGCATCTTTGCACGAGGCTGTTTATGCTCCAGTCGTCTTGCGGGTAAGTCCTCCTTGGCTTTGGCAATCTCAGTGTCATACGCGTCCGAGGGATCATGGCTGTGGTTCAAGCAGTCCAACCCCTTCGAATCTGTCGTAGTATTATGCAAGCAACGGCCCTGAAACCCAAACCCTGAACCCACATCCCCGGAACCCCAAACCCTAAAGCGCCTAAAACCCAAACCGGAAACGCTTTGGGAGTGTAGGGCTTCAGTGTTTTTGGTGTTCAGGGGTTGCGCAATTTGTCCTGTTTATCTTAGGATGCTTCCCCTCATCTACGGGCTCTGTCAAGCATCAGGAAAATATACCTGTTATCTTCAGACTAGACCTACCTCTGGTGGCAACGGTACTGTCATGGGGGACGCTTTAGCCATATAATGCTTCTCGCCCGCAAATTTATTGCGTAGGACTTAGGCATCCTTGCAATTCATGGCAAGGGCCTTGAAACCCCGGCTTGTGAAGCCTGGAGTCCCTCTACATACAGCTCCATGAACTACACAGAGTTTTGAGGGGTGAATTTAGGGTTAGGGATTTACTGACGAGGGTTTAGGATTTGGGGTTTCCAGTTAAGTCGTCTTCGTGTAGCGCAGCATAAGGTACAACGTGTCCTTGATGAACGCGCCGGCTCCTAAGTGGGGCTCGTGATGCACCTGGTTCCGCATACGTGTTTTGCTGCAAGATTTGGGTTCTTGTTGGACCCTAAACCCTTAAGCCCTTTTCCACCAAAACTTCTGAAGCCCTAAACGCTATAAACCCTATAGACCTCGCAAAGCCTTCACCCCCTACATGCACCCCATCAGCTCTCAAAGCCTGAAATCCTAGAAAGCCCACAACTCCGAACCCGAGGCTGACTCTGTACACCGGGGCCAACTGCAACCTCTTCCAGTCGGCGAACTCGCAGACAGCGCGAGCTGGTGTCCCAGTGTCCTGCGCTTTCGGGCTTGGGCTTTACAGGGGAGTTACAAGAACTTTTGCGGGTTATTACAGGGGTTCATAGGTGTCACAGGTGTAGGTGTTTCGGGTAAGGTAAGAGCAGTACCCCGCGAGGGGCTTCGAGTCGAAGTATTGGGGGGGGGGGGGGGTGGGATATCGGCGTGATACACTTAAGTAAGGAGTCGTGTGTAGAGGTTAGTGTTCAGGGAGCTTCAGGCTTTCGGGTCAGTTTGACACGGGGCGTGGAGAGATTTGGAGAGTGCAACTGACCTTGGCTGAAAGTTGCTGAGCAAGACCTGGTTTCGTCCGGTGTGCTTCAGGGTTGAGGGTTCACAGTTTTCAAAGTTGGCAATATGGGTGGCCCCGGGCTTTCAGCGGTGTACTAAGGCGTACTCAAGTTTCGAGGAGACAAGTGGCCCCAAGACCCTCAATTCAAAGCAAACGCACACATGCAATATCCCAAGCTCTGAACGAATTTCTAAGGTACTGTTACAGAAACCATGTCGGAGATGGACCAGTTGCCCATAATCCAGGATGCTTCCACTTTCTTCAGCTTCTGCCCTGCTCTCGCGGAACCGATTTTCGCTCATGTTTCACCAGATCCGATTTTGTACTTATGAATACACCTAAGCTTTTGTGCAGCATTTACTTGAGGGAGTTCTTTCTTTTGTGCGTACCAAGCAAGAAGGAGACGCAACCCGACTCGAGTCCGGAGTCTTCTCGACACTTTTCATGTCCTAAACTATTTTCAAGGGTCGCCAGATGTCGCCAGTGCCTTCCCTCCACCGCCATGCTGCGTGTTTGGTGGACTTCGGGAAAGGAGTTGGCGGCTATGGGTATGGAGGAGCTGAGCGATGTGAGGACTCTGAAGCAGCACCTGCGCATGAGGCATGGCCTCCCGGTATGTATCCAGCAGCTCATGTCCGGCAACCGCATTTTGGAGGACACTGTGAGACTGGATGCCCCCATGGACGTTCAACTAGTGTTGCTGGATGTTTCCAAGAACCCCTCGCGAAGACGCCAAGCTGCAGACGAGCTTGTTGCGTACTGCGCTTTGAAAGGACACGCCGAGGTTGCACGTCAGCTCTTAAAAGCGGGCACTGACAAGGACTCTCGGGGTTCTTACGGTCGGACAGCTCTTCGCGTCGCATCGGCATCAGGCCATATCGAGATGGCACGTTTGCTATTGGAAGCTGGTGCTGCGAAGGACGAGCTCGATGAGGGTGGCTCGACAGCCCTTCACGGCGCATCTGCGAATGGTCACATTGAGATTGTGCGTATGCTTCTGGAAACTGGCGCGGACAAGAACGTGCAAACCAAGAACGGCTCAACAGCCCTTCACTTCGCCACTGACAATGGCCGTGAGGATGTTGTGCGTTTGCTTCTGGCTGCTGGCATTCGCAAGGACACCCAGCGATGCAATGGGTCTACGGCCCTTCACCATGCATCGATCGGCCCCGCTCAGATTGTGCAGGTGCTCTTGGATGCTGGTGCGGACATGGATGCCAGAACAAATTATGGCTGTACAGCCCTCTCCCTGGCATCAAGCCAGGGGAGCACTGAGGTTGTGCGTTTGTTGCTGAAGGCGGGCAGCAAAACCGACATAAGGACCAACTACGGCTCCACAGCCCTCAGTCTCGCATCTGCCAAAGGCCACGTCGAGATTGTGCGTTTGCTGCTGGAAGCTGGCGCCCAAAAGGATGTGCAGGACATGTCAGGGCTTACATCCCTTGCCCTGGCAGCTTGTGAAGGGCACATTGACATCGTGCGCCTGCTGCTGAACGCCGGAGCTGACAAGGCTCTACAGGAGATGAATGGATCGACGGCGCTACACCATGCCTCTGAGAAGGGCCATGTCGAAATTGTGCGACTGCTGGTGGAAGCCGGTGCGGATGCAAACGCGAAGACCAGCTTTGGCTCTACGCCCCTAAGTCTCGCATGCGCAAGGAACTATGTTGAAATTGCGCAAATCTTGCTAGCGGCTGGTGCTGCAATTGACAAGCAGGACCCTTACGGATTTACACCTCTTAGCCTCGCCTCCTACGAAGGCCACGTTGAGATTGTGCGCTTGCTGCTTGCAGCCGGCGCCGACAAGGGTGTGCTGGACCAGAATGGTTCTGCAGCAGTTCACCATGCATCTGAGAATGGTCACATCGAAGTGGCTACTTTGCTGCAGGACAGCTGCGAAGAAATGTCCGCACTGGTGCATGAGGTTTGTAGAGAGCCTCAAGCCTCATACACCTACTTCCTTTCCTGCTTATGCCGCACAGGACGGCTGTAGGACAAGCTGGATGCAGGTGCCGAGCTGAAGCTTCGACGCGTAGCTGGTCCAGGATGATGAAGAAAGTCTCAAGCCTCATACCTTGTAAACCCCTCTCCTCCCCAAAGCCCCAAGCTCCTAAGCCCCAAGCCCCAAACCCTATAAGCCCTACACCCGAAACCTTAAACCTCAATTCCGATCCCAAGCCTCGGTACCCTCATTCCCCTTTTATGGCAAGTTTCCGTAGTTCCCATGAGGCTCAAAAGGGCTTTCTTTCGGTTTCATAGAACCTAAGCCTTTTCTCCTTTTCTTTGAGTCTACTACCTTCATCCCGCAAAGCCTTAAAACTTCCTGAAGCAAGTTTTTCCCTTCTGTCGTGTTCCTATAGGTTGCGCCACCAAGCCTGAACTTCACCCGTGACAAGAACCCACCTTGACCTCAAAAGCATGCCACAAGGAGTTAGCTTTGATACCCCAGATTTACGGGTTTTCGGCTGTAGCCTTGGGTAGTTTTAAGCGCACGCAGAAGCAATCCCAAGCCCTCCCTAAACTTGCCACACCCTAAACCCAGCCTGAGACCCAAACGCCCCTAAGCACCCTAAACCCAAAACATCCAAAACATTCCTAACCCCATCCCCCCGAGCCTTGAAACCTAAATGTACAATGTTCACAAATGTACACCATAACCCCCCCCTCCCCCCCTTACACCCTAAGCCCTAAACCCTCAACTCGCCAGAGGCCCAGACGCAAGCTTTCCCGCCGTCGACCCCTAGTCGGGCACTCGAGGGTTCCTGGAGGGGTTTAGGGTTTAGGGTTTGCTCGGAAATCACCGGGTCCCCACCATCCTGAGAATTTTTTTTCCCGGGCGGCCCGGTCCGAAAGTTCTGCGGGCGTGGCCAGCCGCCCCTGCCTGCACTAGTCGAGCAAAAAACCCGCTACAGTTAGGCCAATCATGGAAGGAATGCTGATACAGGAATCAAGAAAAAGCAAGTGACTGTGGCCGAGATAGCTAGTGCTTAGGGTGTGTAGGGTTTAAGGATTTAGGCTGTCGGGTTTAGGGTCTAGAGTTCGGAGCTTAGGGTTTAAGAGTTGGGAAGAGCTTTGAATCCCTGTAGTGCCCTTCTATCCTTAAAAGGATTGTTGGGTCCTTCAGGCACCATATCTTTGCAACATATTTGCTGGGCTGCCTAGACTCGAAGGTCTCGCAATATCCCACCTGCTAAGGGGTGTAGGGTTCGGGTTCAATATTCTAGCTTTGAGGTTCAGGCTTTAGATTTGTGGCTTTAGGGTCTAGGGCTCGGCTGAATTCGGATTCGATCGGAGTTGGCCGTTGTCCCTGAGCTCCTTGTTAACGGCAACTTCTGCACGCCTACTATCCCAAAAGCGTCTAAACCCCTGAGCACATGCAGAGTCCTCTCGTCCTCTAGGCACCCAAACCTAAACCACTGAAGCCCCTAAACTCTAAACCACCGAAGCCCCAATCCCTGGACCCCAAAGCCATTCCAGCCCTAAGCCTAAAACCCGACACCCTGAACCCTTTCAAATCATTCTGACCGGGGTTGTGTCACTTTGTAGGGTCAAGGATACCTTGCTATGGTGGAATGCAGGCTCTGTAGGGTATTCAAAATATTTGGGGTCGAGTAGGGTCTTTAGAGTTTAAGGTATTTCATGTCAA